ACTTGCAGTTCTACACGCGCGCCTTGAAGGATTTCACCTTACCGTTTGATGGTGATCCTCAACTAACCAGGGTTTAATGGAGGTTTAGTTAAGGGTGGTTTAATGGATGTCTGGTTGGTGGTTTGGAACATTTTTAATTGTTCCATATATTGGGAATAATCATCCCAACTGACTAATATTTTCTCAGAGGGGTTGAAACCACCAACCAGATGTGAATGGGATTTCTAGTTCAACTTTAGATTTTGCTATCCGGTGGGAGTGATCATTTGCTGGACTATGCTCGACGAACTAATTAATGCTGGGTCTATATAGTGGGAATATGATGGGATATACCCTTTGGTAAATTAACACAGACCCTGAAAATCACCAATTTTTAGTGGAAACTAGTCTTACAACTCCTATTTGGCAGGGTCTATGTTAATTTGCTGGAGGGTAATTAATAGGATTATCTAATGGGATCTATAAAGGTGTCGATGTTCGATCCATTGAGGGAGCGGTGAGCATGGTGAGCTGAGCCATATTCCCGACAAAACATGGGAAACCAATAGCTATGACATGAACTTCCCAACCACATGGAAGATGAAATTTCTGGGGAAGATGAGAATTAACTTGGTTTGACTCATTGCTCCAACATTTTTAACCAATGGTCCTCAGAATTTAAAATGAAACATGTTTGAAAATTCCTTACCCTCTGGTAAATTAACATAGACCCTGGCAGATAGGGATTGGAAGACTAGTTTCCATTAAAAATTTGTGATTTTCAGGGTCTATGTTTATTTACCAGAGGGTATGACTCATTTTTAACATGTTTTAACCAATGAGATCCAATGAGTCAAAGCTGAGGAGAATGGGCAGCTGTTTGACCGCCACGTATTTAAGGGACATGTCCATCCGAAAAAGGGGTGATCTCTCGGGAATCGGTGAGCAGAAACAGCAGGTGGTGGCTCCAGTGAGTCGACTGAGAATCCAGTGGCGCCTGTGGTTTTTCCTGCAAATATGGTGATTTTATGGTGATTTAATGGTGATTAACCCTCTGGTAATGGAATATGAATGGCTGGTTGGTGGTTTGGAACATTTGGATTATTTTTCCATGTATTGGGAATCATCATCCCAACTGACAAACTCATATTTTTCGGAGGGGTAGGTATACCACCAACCAGTCTCTGGTTGGTGCCAAACAGTTGCTATACTTTCAACCATGAAAATGGGATGATGATCCTGACCTTCGCAGATTTTTCAGCGCCCCCTGGCAAAAAAACAACCAGTTGATTACTATGTTATGGTTCCACTTCTTTAAGGCAACTATTTCAGTTGTTGTTGGTAACATCCCTTTTTCGGTTGGTTTAAACCACCAGCATCGGCGAAGTTTGAGATTCCCTGAACATCTATGATATCTATGGACTTCTTACTGCAAACAAAACTTGTTTTTTGCAAGGTGGTGTCGCTGTAAAGACCTACACCTACTACTTGGCGCAGGGCCACTTGGTGCGAGGTGAAGCTGATACGCTCAGATGTTTATTGGTCAGGTGAGCCATTAAACATACCCTGGCTGGTTATTCTCTAGGGAATATAGGGAATCATACTGGGCTATTGGGGATTATGGACTAACCCAGAGTAGGGAAATCTAGAAAACAAACTAGTATGATGGGATAGGGGTTTTCTTAATGGCTCAGATGAATTTGATGTGAACTGGTGCAAACAATTTGTATGGAAGTATGAGGATCAGACTTTGTTCAGTATATCTTGGATCCACAGAACTGGTTACCCGGCCCTTTTTGGCACTGTTTGGTCCACGCATCGCAATGCAAATCCCCTTCTTGACTCTTGATGGTAAGTTCATTTGCAAATATATGTAAATTACAAATTGTTCGTTGCCAGGCGGAATTACTGGGTAGTCTATATTTTGCTTTCTGTGGTAACCCGGGTATCCTCGCAGGTGTCATAAGAAGCGGTTGTCATTCATTACGTGCATGACCTACGGTAGTACAGGATAGGGGGGCTATGTAGATCTACTCTTGTCATTATTGTTAAAAATATGTGCAACCAAATACAAGTTGTAGATCTACTATTGTCATTGTAAAGGATATGCTAAATATCTGCTTGGTGGTTTGGAACCATGGAATTTTATGACTTTCCCATCATATTGGACACGTCATCATCCCAACTGACTCCATCATTTTTCAGGTTGGGGTTAGCAGCAACCACCAACCAGATATTGTGGACCTTGTACAGCGCGGACCAACGCACCTTCACGCCCCGGCTTCGAGTGGTAGTCATAGCTACGGGTAGCCATGTGGAACATTTGGCTGCTGAGCGTTTCAACAGTTGCGAAAACTTATACCATCTTATACATCGGTGAGATCCAGTGTGTCAAATGTGCTGGTGATTTAAAAAAAAAAAACCTCATAAATGATGAGTGATATCCCCAAGCAGTTGGGTGGTGTCGTTTTGTTGGGACATGGATCATCACTGCTGAGGGTTCACTCGAAAAACGTCGTGCTCCTTCAATGGATCATGTCACCCCCGGATCAACATGGTCAGCGGGCTGGTGGTGTCAAATTTATTGTTCCATACAATCTTGGGATGATTGGCTGACATGAACCATGATTTTTGAGATGGGTTACCCTCTGGTAATTTGTTACATAGCTATAGAAAAATATTGAAAATGGCCATTGATAGGTGATTTACACTGATTTACCTCCAAAAAACATCAAAAAACGTTGCTTTTCCATGGCTATCTTAGTTTACAAGAGGCTTCAAAGAAGTTCCGTACGCACCAAGTAGTCCACAACACCAAGGTAGTGCTGCATTCAGCTCGTGCTCCACGTTGGCGCTGGGTGCATGGCTCTTGCCCGAAAGCTGGGTGACCTTGGACCAGGACCATCTCCCCACCATAAATGGGTGATATAAAATGGTACCATTCCCCAAAAATTGCTGGTTTCTGATCTTGTTTTGCCCACAAATTATTATATTTGATTCTTCCTTTTTGTTGGGATTGAAACTAATAAATTGGGAGTTTCATGGTTGAAAAAAATGGTGGGAAACTGCTAATCGCGAGCCAGGAGGCCATGCGTCAAAGCGCCTTGGTATACCGCCCGGGAACTGGGGGATCTGAGTCAAAATGACAAAAAGCCAGGGGACTTGAGGAAGTTTAGATGTTTGTGTTTAATGTGTTTCCTCTATTTTTAGTATTTAACATGATTTAAGATGATTTTTCAGCATCTATAGATATTGTGGTACACAATGACTTGACCCATCCCCAAATTAATGAGAAGAGTCAACAAAACTGAAGATTTATATATATATAGATTTACGGTAGGGAAGAAACTAGACATATACATAATATAGAATTATATATATATAGAAGGGACACACATTGTGACAGAAATTTGAAGATATAGACACCCTTTTCACTTCAGATAGGGGATACAGGGATACACCTGGCATTATCGCCACGATCGCAAGGTGCAGAGATCCTGCTGGGTTTCCATGATTTCTTGCCTCTATCCTCTGTTCCTGCGGAGGAGGCCAGTGCTGGAATCCTACGATTCCCAAGATGTGAGGATATTTTTTGGGGACAGTCTGGTTTTTGTAGACCAGCTACATGGCTAGATTTCTTTGATTGTTGGTGCCGTTCCGGTTGAAGCCAATGGTTTTTGCAGAACACACAGGCTTCAAGCACACAATTTCCCTTGGATGCGGTTTCTAACGGATCATATTTGACAAGTTAGCAGTTAGGATAATTATTGTGATTTCCACGGTCATGCTTGGGCCAACCTTCCAAAGTTATCGACCCATCAAAATAATCCAGGGTATTTTAAGACACCCAAAAATGTGATTTATCAATATGTGAATCCCAAAAGTGATACAATGTGATGATACATGAAGAAACATGAAGATATCTACTATTTTTGTGGGATAATTCTCATCTGCTTGGTGGTTTGGAACATTTGGATTATTAGTCCATATATTGGGAATAATAACCCGAACTGAAAAACTCATATTTTTCAGAGGGGTAGGTACCATATATATACATATATATATATATCAGAAAGGGGTGTTGTGAGCGCTAAAAAAACGAAATTTTGGGGATATGTAGCCTTGATACTATGGATGGTTTCATGTTTTTTTGCGCTCAAAACAGCCTGTGTGAGTAGGACGAATCATTTGATATACTAAGCAACCAATGTCTGCTGTCTGCTGTCTAACCCGAACTACAAAAATCCTCCAACCCGAACATGGGACAGGTATGGGATTCTATGCTATATGGGATTTAACTGATAAGTATCAATACTATTCAATAGATATTAATCAGGTTGAATAGTATTGAATAGTATATGGGATTCTAATATCAATACTATTCAATATATTCTATACAAACTATATCATTATCATCAGGTTTTGCAGGATCTCTGATGAAAATCCGGGGATTCGGCCGATTCCGATGGCCGAGGGCAGGGGCACAACCTGCCGAGAGATCGTGGCCATTGCTGTGGAACAGCCGGAACATGTGGCTTGGGCGGAGCTGCTGTGGGGAGATTTCCGAAGTCAACGGGAACCACTAGATTCAGCACTAGATTCAGATAGATAAAACATGGGTTTATATGGGTTTATTATTTTTTCAGGCAAACGCACATGGTGGTTTTTACCATCTGGTTATTTAATTTAGCGAACTGGGAAATCACCACTTTTAGTAGGTAAATCATCATTTTTTTCATCTATTTCTATGGGCCATTTTCCAGTTCGCTACGTTAGTCATAACCTTAAAGGGTATATCAGCCAAATCCGCATTTCTCTGTGGGGCAAAGATGAAGAACTCCACTTTCTACCTGGATAAAGTATAAGAACCTCACTGCAAAATCACTGGAATGATGGTTAGTAAGGGGTAACTATGCAAACATGTGTAACATGACCTGGTTTTACAGGTGAATTCGAAAAACATGATCCAGATTCATCCAGATTCCGAGATCATTTCTGATCTTAGCCATTTTTGTGGCTCAATCTATGAAGATCTCCAGGTGTCACATCACATCGCCCGAGAAAAAAAAAATCACCCCATGGTGAAGTCTCTGGAGTTCGACGAGTTCGACCAGGGACTGGGGACCATTGAGATGAGAAGGGGGCAAACGTGGCCACACCAACAGTTGAGTTGGCCTCAGAGACTTGGAATATTGGAGAATGGCTGAAGAGAGGAGCTGCCTCTGGTGATTTTTGGGTTAAAATTTGTGCGAACTGGAGAATTCATCATGTTTATAATGATAATTTCATGGTAAATCATCTCTAAAAACGACTAGAGTTGTTGTTGTCGTTGTTGTCGTTGTTGTCGTCGTTGTTGTTGTTGTTGCTGTTGCTGTTGTCGTTGTTGTCGTGGTTTAATGGGTAAATGAGAGGGATTATTGATGGGATGGTTCCTTGGGGAATTTATAGGATGACATAGCAGGATAATATAGCCACAGGAGGGACTTGACATGACTTAACTATACTTAACTATCAAACTGGTGTTCAAGGGATATCAAACATGAAAAAATCCAGGGAGTTTTAGAGATTTCGCAAAAACAACAATGGGGGTATATGTAATGGTATGTAACGGGTACTGTAATGTGTATTATAGGGATTCAACATGACCCAACCAAAGCCACAAAAGGTGATAGGCCGCCGCTTTTGGTTGGCGGAATGTGGCGGAATACCATGGTAATCTCATGATTTTGCTGAGTTTTTGTTTTGATTTGGTGATTCCAAATGAAAACCTATGGGGAAGATGTTTACCCTCTGGTAAACTAACATAATTATAGAAAATCGTCATTTTCAATGGGTAAATCAACTATAAATGGGCAATTTTCAATAGCTTTTTGTTAGTTTACCAGGCCGGGTAGATAGTTTTGGGTCCAAATCAAGTAATCCAACGAAGTTGGAAATGATGAAACCGGTTTGATGTGATGGTTGTTTGGTATGGTGATTCAATGGTGATTTAATGGTGATTCAATGGTGATTTAATGGGATTTAATGAGATTCAATGGTAAACACCGTTTTTAAAGATGGGTGGATGTTCCATGTCTATGTTATGTATAACCAGATGGTGCCAACCGTAACCAACATGCTTGAACTAAGAACAAACGTCCACGGGGATCAGCTGACACCCTAAGGATGGTGAGGCAAAGGCACCTGTCAAACTTCCTGCGGAGGCATGGCTTTGTGGATGAACAGAGCCCCCGAGGACTTTGTGGATACTTGGAACTCAAGACTTCATACAATGTGGGGCCCCCGTAGACGAAATTTCTAACTCCAATTTCACTATGGTTTATTGTACTTATAGCTAATGGGGGTTATTTGCACCAACTAACCAACTTAGCTATCGTTTTGGGGCCCCGTCCCTTGTAGGACTTCCTCAAAAAAAACCGCTTGTGATCGTAAGTCCTCCATGGTGATGAATAGGTCATGCCCCCCCCCAGCGATGTTGATTTATATCTATCATAGTAAATTGGTTTATAAACCATGGTAATCATAGTAACTAGTGATATATATATATATATAACATAGGTTATATCTATGGTGATTTATAAACCATAGTAACTACTTAGATGGGCCATGGGGCTATTTAGCTAGTTAGTAACTGGATGATAATCCATTATTTAACCAGGTATAATCCAGTTATTCACCAGTGAAGTAATACCAGGGCCCATCCAACTAGTATGATATATCTATCATAAAGCCGAGTGAAATTGGATAATTTTTGCACCAACTTCGCGATGTAGCTCACTGGGGCACCACCTTGTAGAACAAGCGGTTGCCCTGAAACATTGGCAAAGTTGGGGTTGTAAGTGCAGATTGAATAGGATTTGTGGTAGATATATCTAGGTGAAAACAAGCAACTCACTGTTATTTGGGGCAAGTCTCCCAAAATAGCCCAACATTTCAGGTCGGTGAATTATTGTAAATTACCCAGATATATGGTTGGCGGTTAGTGGCTCCACCAGCTTGCAACTGGGCATTGGGGGTTCACAAGCTATTTATTGAATTGTTGACACGTGGGAACACCAGGGTGGTCGTGACCGTGTTTTTTTCATTATTTTTTCAAGGTGTCCATGGGTTGATACAATGTTGATTTTCGAAGCCGCAGAAATGATACACCATGCCTCTTCATTACAGCAGGGTTGAACCCAAAAAAAGGAATATCTACTGGCCCGGTTGAAAAACAGTCATTGGGGCTGCTCCTCAGAAGAATAGATCCTGATCCGGCTTGGTCTTGTGGCGAGGTTGTGGGAATCCCACAGGGGATGGGATTCCACAACCAGGCAGCAGTCATTGATAGACTTCAACTGGATGTATTTCCTATCTCTTTCATGTCGTTTTTCTTGCGAATCTTCGAACCAAAAATCCACATTAGATAATCACGGGCTGATAATTATCCACATTGTTGCAGGATGTTGCAGATTTTGGTGGTTTCTATAGACCCATCGTTGTCTTTGTTTCCTTGATGCTTCACCACCAGGAAAAGTTCGCTTGGAGTTGATGTATCCCATCCACGTAGCCGCGCAGATGGGCGATGTGCCGATTCTTCGTATCCTTCTGGACCTCGGGGTGGACCCTCAGACGGGCGCGGCCGATGGCCGTACCGCCCGTCACTTCGCGGAGGAGGCCAATCGAGATGGATCGCACCACCGGATCTTGCAGCTTTTGGCACATTCACAACGCGTGAAGTCGGTGGCATTGTAAAAGCTTTGTCGCCGTTGCATCCTCGGAACTGGGAAAATCTTAGTCTTATTTTTTTAGGAGATACTTAGAATTAATCTAAAAAGTACAGATTCAAAATCTTACATCCCAAGTTTCAGGTTGGACATGGGTCCAGAACTTCCATTTCTTTCGAGTTTCCAAGAAGTCCTGGACGTCAGGGTGTGGGTTGAGCCGGGCCTAGTCTCTCACAAACGAGTGTGGTATGCCATACCCATCTCCCAGACGTAGCTTTTTGCCAGGAACAAAGTGTTGCCAAGCCGGCAGGAAGATGTTGGTGGCTTGAAAAAACTTGTGTTTGTTTAACAGTTTTGTTGTCCTTTTTCATCCCTTCTTTTAGGAACCCTGTGGATCCAGATACTTCCTGAGGGACTTAACTAACCCCCAGTCATCACACGAGTCATACTTCCTCAGATGGTACGGCTGGATCCATAGGAGAGTGTGTTTATTTTCTTTGAAATTGATTTGGTTTGTTGAGTTCGAGCCGCCCAGATAATGTCCAGGTGAGAGTCTCAGAGCGTCTCTTGGTTTGCACGGAGTGCAAGCCCACCGTTTTTCCACTGTGATCAGGGCTGCAGGTCTCTTTTTGAACCTGAGGTTCTGGTCAGCCAAGTGTCTATTGTTTGTGCATGGACCCCTGAACAACCCAGACAGAAACATAGTTTCCGCAGAACGCCATCAATTCGGCGTTCAGAATGGGGTCCAGATGAACTGGTTCATCTGGTCGGTGGTTTTAAGCATCATGTTTCTTCATTGATGGGCCCCCAACCACTTGATCATCATCCATTTCTATGTCTATGGCTCACCAGGCATGTTTTTCTTTGGGGGGAAGTTAAAGCATGTTAAATCATGGGAAACGAAATTATCTTTGGATATATTTGGATCATTTTTACTGACCTCATTGCAAGGTCAGTTGGATGGTTACATTGCTATCCCAAAAGATGGCCGAACAGAGTTGGTGAAATATTATCTTTTTGGTGGAGCTCTAAATGTACAAAAAGATCCATCAAAAAGAGAATATTTCAACAAAATATTTCAACTGGATGCATCTATAAATGTTTTTTGTTGATGGAGCTATAAATGTACGTGTTGCTTGAAACCACCAAATCCAGTGAACGATTCCAATAAAACCTACAATTTTCAGCTGCTGGGCAGTTTGTCTCGGCGCTTCTTCTGCATGCGGTGCTCCTTGCGGGCCAACACGAGATGGTTAATACATGTTAATTGAAGCAGAGGTCCCCTGGGCGATTTTGACCCTGCGCAAGACGCAAAACGCAACCAGCATATGAATACATAAATGTGTATATATATATAATACATACAATATGATGCGCAAAAACATATACTGTATACAGCACAAGACAAGATAAGGGGAAAAATGATGGTGTTTCTGTTGGTCATCCCTGGAGGCGTCGTTCTTCGGGGCTCCAGATTTTTTAGAATGGGGAAATCCATAGGGCCATAGGGGTCAAACATGTTTTCAATGGGAAACACATATACATATATAGGTGTATATATATAATATAATAGATATATATACATATAGATATACGTATTTAATGTGTAATATATATATATATATATATGTATTTACGTATTGAAATCAAAGAGATAATCTTTCGCAACCATAAAGAAGCGTATAAGCATAGAGAAACCATAGATCTTGGAAACCTCTATTTTTGTTTCGGGAAACACCCATAGATTCCATAGATGTATTGCAGGAAGCACCAGTTGATAGGTGATGTATCCCATTATTTATATGTTCTTCCATCCACAGTAGGTTTTAGGTTTTACAAAGGGTATCATGGTGTGCACCTTGGGTATCATGATGTGGATCGAGGTCAACGTTGTGGTCACCAATCTATGAATCTATGCTTTACGATGCGTAGCCAATGATTTACTCATGTCAAGGCTGGTCATAGGCCAATTAAACATATTATATACCCGCCTCTGGTAAACTAACGACATAGCTATTGAAAATTGCCATTTATAGTGGATTTTCCCATCAAAAATGGTGATTTTCCATAGCTATGTTAAATTACCAGAGGGTAGATGTTCCCACTTGTACTGGGTACTTGGGTTAAGTCCATCGGGCTTACGGAAGCCGATCGGAAACGGTGTCCCCTATGGGATTTGGTTGCAAATGGGATGTATACAGACATGCAAGCTGTTTTTTTGGCAGTGTTTTGCATGATTTTTGCTAACTTGTATGCATGTCATAGCACACAAATATTGCTGTTGCCTTGCAGTGATTGATTGCAGCGCCTGCAGATCTTTGACTGGGAGTACCGGCCTGCCTGCCTGCTTGCTTGCTTGCTTGCTTGGTCCCTTGCTTGCTTGCTTGCCTGCTTGCTTGCTTGCTTGCCTGCTTGCCTGCCTGCCTGCGTGCGTGCTTGCTTCCTTGCTTGCTCGCTCGCTTGGGGAGTTCGCGCGGGGTCGCGCAGGGCTCACGCAGTGCTACGTTCAGATTCTGCCTAAAATTGCTTTTGGTTTGTACATGTTCGGTTTCCTGTATGGTTCCTTATTATGTTATCCGTATTCTGTCCAACAAACATATTGCACATGGTTGTCTCCACACACAGTACCCTGATGGCATTCCGTGTTGAGACACATTGTGGGGGGTGACCATTTCACACCGGTGTCCCATGGTGATTTCAGTGTTTCACAAGTTACAACACATGTTTGTGAATGGCGGTGTCTGGTGGTGATGTTGCTTTCTGCCCACTACACAGAGACATCTTCTAAACCGGTGTCCCATGGTGTTCTTCAAAGAAAAAACAACCCAAAACAACCAAGAAACTGCTTCCCATCCTGGTGTCCGCACCAAGTATTGCGGGATGGCCACAACGCATGTACCGTGTAGCTTGACCATGGGACATATGTCCACTCTATTAGAGAGAATCCATATGAATTGACAATGAACAACCAGATTTCTTTGAAGGTGCTAGCCCCAAAACATCCGCAGCAGTCTCACTGGCTGGTGGTTTCACAATGCTTTATTTTTGCTTGCCGTTTATCCCTAAGAATATCTAAACATCGGCCCAATACTCCATACATAAAAATCCTGGCCCTAGTTTCAAAACAAATTGGCCAAACAAACGCACAAAAGAAACAACAATACGTCAATACGTTTTCAGTGATCATGACGATGACATACGATGACAGTCTCCAGCATTTGTGTTTTGGTTGGCTTCAAACCACCAACCAGACGAGCGACTTGCACCACACCGCAGCAGTGTGTAGTTTTCTCAATTTTCGAATCGGCGAAGCAGCGCTTAAAAAAAATGTATCCAGAACTGCTTCGCCTCGGGGTCGATGAGAACTGGATATCTACTGGATATCTACTGGATATCTACTGGATATCTACTGGATATCTTAACTAACTGGTGACTTACACATGAACTCTGGTTTTCCTGGTGATCTTCAGCCCATAGTTGGACATGTTGGACTAGATGGGATCTTGGCTGTCTCTGTCCAGGAATTAGAACTTGGCGCAAGGTGAGTATCATTATCCCAAGTTGTAAATGTGATAATAGAATCTCAGCATTTGTTTTAGTGATGATATATTCTCATATTTGCATATATTTACAATTTACTCATAACTTTTCAGTTGTAAATGTTGTTTTTAATGAACAGAACTATCATCATTAAGATAATGTTTGACGCCTTCATCGTAGATTCTATGTCTTTTGGGCAAACAAAAGCATTCCTCCATTGACGAATGAAACCAGAACAGAGAACAACAATTTCTCCGGATTTTCAGGTACCAAGCGCCTCATCTCCTGATCTCAGTTTTTTTTTGGTTCGAAAAATTGAAACATCTCTCTAAAAAAAGGCTCGACATCCTTCGCTTCAGGGACTTCCCTGGCTCGATGGAGGGTGAGTGTCCTAATCTTAAATGCAAAGCACCCATTTTCTTATCCCAAATCATCCCAAATCCAAGAAACTGAACGAATTTTCCAGGGCTTTTTTGTTTTCCCAATGATGTTTTCTGGTTAAAATTGAACATTTCCTTCTCAATGTGTTCATGCTTGCTTGGTGAAGCCCCTAGGAATCCTAAGTGGATTATATGTCAGTTGCAACTTCATTTGTGGAACGATAACCCCATTTAAAACCATTTATAGCTGGTAAATGGCTTGAACTGGCTTTAACTGTAGGCTAGGGTTAAGCCATTCCTGTTGTTTTAAGGCCCCAGAGGTCGAGCGTCCAAGGTGAATTTGGGCCTGTTGGGCGTTTGCTTCTGGCGTGCCGGGATGCTGCCAACTGAGGCGGATCGGGCAAAATGGCACAAACAACTGATGAAACAAAACATGTGGAAATAGATCCAGCTAGAAGAATGGCTGTGTTAGAAAATGGGGTATACACCCAAAGCCACAATATGTTACATGTTTTTTTAAGTAGAATGTATTGGAGGTGGGGCCTCTTAGATAGCTAAGGTGGTGAAATTATAACTTCAATAACCATGCTGCATGGTGGATATATCTATATAGTCTATATTTGTTGGATTTATAGACCACTTTGTAATTGGGGGAGACATTTTGTATCGATACAATCTCTATATATATATACATGTATCTGGAGATTGTTTAAAACACAAGTATCTATAGTATATCTCAATTAAGGAGGTTTAAGATGTAAAACAAGGAAGATACTAATCAAATTCTAATCAACATATATATATATATATATGAGTATACCAAACTATATGAAACTATATAATAATATAATATGTGTGGATAGTAATCTCACCAGCACATATGTGTATGGATGTTCATTCAGATATAACAGACATGAGGTGAGTTGTCGGGGTGTCAGCCATCAAACATTTGGAAGCTATCTGGCCTTCGAAGGGGCGGACAAAATCTACAGAAATCATGATTTCGTTGATACTTACCATCCAGTAAACTAACATGTCTATGGTATTTTTAATGGGTAAATCCACTATTTCTATGGCCATTTTCCAGTTCGCTTTTGGTATGTTTACCAGAGGGGTCATCAATTGTCCCACTGGGAATCCCTGAAGGTTTGGGGATGACTCCCGCCAATAGGTTGATTTATGACTAGGCTACAGGATGGGGCCCCCAGTCGATAGCGTTCAGTTGAGATATAAGTGGCTGAATTCTATGGTTCATAGTAGATATAACTATAGATAACCATACTTAATGGCGGTTATAAACCAACTTATAACTGGGGGGGCCCATGCCTTATGGTGGGGTCACACGTTGTACCATTGTTTATGAATGCGCCAACTTAAACCACTGCTTAAAACATTGGTTACCATTGAGGAAGAGATGAGCTTTGAGGAAACTTGAACCTGTACAGCAAGGAATATGTG